CCTTGTTCTAATTCTTGCCAGAACCTAGAGTACGATCCTTCTTTAGGGACAGTGTTAATTACAGCCCCTGTCTCCCTTCCTGGAGTGACTGCTGCTGTCACCAGTTCAATATTAAGATTATAGGGAGCATAACTTGGCTCCTTCTCTGAAAAAGGAATCTTCTTGTTTACACATAAATTTAAAGCCTGAATTTTCATCAGACCCGTATTTTGGCCAAAATACTGCTGTTTCCTTAATTGGTTCTTTTGTCCAGACTGATACACAATATTTAACCTTTTTTTTAAAAAAAAAAATTATTTTTCTTTTACACTTTTACAACCCCTCTAATTTTGGGATTATGTTTCCAATTTCTTATAATTCTTCAGGAAGAACTATTAGTAGGCACTCCCCCAGGGATATCTCCCTGTCCCCTGGAACTCATATTTTCCCATTTTTCCTAACCCTCGCCAGTATGTGCTACAGAAATTTCCCTTCTGCAGTGTACCACACACCAACGTACTGAAAAATGGGGGTGTACCGCCGAGCACTTCCCCGTGCCAGCGTTACCGCACACCTATGAGTTTACCAGATTCCCTGGAACTCGTGCTTCCCATCTTTCCTAACCCTCGCCAGTATGTGCTACAGAATTTTCCCTTCTGCAGTGTACCACACACCAACGTACTGAAAGATGGGGGTGTACCGCCAAGCACTTCCCCGTGCCAGCGTTACCGCACACCTGAGTTTACCAGATTCCCTGGTGTACTTCCAAGCACTTCCCCGTGCAAGGATTACCGTACACCAGATTCCCCTGGTGTAGTGCCAGCACTTCCCCGTGCAAGGGCTTACCATACACCAGATACCCGACCCCCAAGGCAATACTTAATATTTCTTACCTTGGTCTGTGCACAGAGTTACCGGATCGATTCCTAAAAACCCGGAGTGCCTACCTTCTTCCTTTCCCCACTACTTCACGGATCCTGCCTCTTTAACCAGTCTCGGGCCCTCTGTCAGCTTTCTGCAGAACCGCCACCGTCGATGCACAGGACCGCTGAAATCAGCGGGGCATGCCTTCCTGCTGCTGCGGCGGTGGGGCTCCCCAGTAGGTGACTGGCTCCCGGACGAGCCCCCAAATTGTGAGAAACACTCCGTAGCCAATAACTTAGGCTCAGGCGAGGATCTCAGTGAAGTAGTAATTTATTCGCGATTGCAATGGCGGGCGCCCCACAAGCAGGAGAGAGCGCATCTACTAGTTCCAAAACACAGTTTATATACCTTTTGATGGCAGGACCCTCCCCTGTTTCCCCACTGAGTGGGTAATCCAGGTTCACAATCTATCTGATGCTTCACAAACAATGCATGGCCTTCAGTTGCCGGCCTGTTAAATTTCAAATTTCTTTTGACATTTTTACTGTTTGAAGTGGTAATGTTTCTTCACTTATCTGACTTGACTTGACACCGTGATTTTCACCTAATTGTCCTAAGGAGACTGGTTGTCTGCATTTTACTAGGTCGCCTGCTAAACTTTCTTATCACTGTAAGCATATCTCAGTACCACATTCCCTCCTTCTAAACAATGTAACTCTGCAAAAACAACATTTCTATTCCCACAGTTTGTGAGAAACACTCCGTAGCCAATAACTTAGGCTCAGGCGAGGATCTCAGTGAAGTAGTAATTTATTCGTGATTGCAATGGCGGGCGCCCCACAAGCAGGAGAGTACGCCTACTAGTTCCAAAACACAGTTTATATACTTTTTGATGACAGGACCCTCCCCTGTTTCCCCACTGAGTGGGTAATCCAGGTTCACAATCTATCTGATGCTTCACAGACAATGCATGGCCTTTAGTTGCTGGCCTGTTAAATTTCAAATTTATTTTGACACTTTTACAGTTTAAAGTGGTAATGTTTCTTCACTAATCTGACTTAACACCGCGATTTTCACCTAATTGTCCTATGTCTGCATTTTACAAGGTCGCCTGCTAAGCTTTCTTATCACTGTAAGCATATCTCAGTACCACATTCCTTCCTTTTAAATGTAACTCTGCAAAAGCAACATTTATATTCCCACAGGTTTCAAAGGAAAATGTCAGAATTGTACCAGAACACCTCAGCAGTAAAAGGGCTACCATTTTTCATGTGTTATACCAACATCCATCCAGTATCTAAAGGCATGAGTGCTGTCAGGATAAAATACAGTAGTTTAATCTTCTGATTTTACAGCAAGGCTGTAAAAGTTATTTCCTCTTGTGTTTTCTAAAAAAGTTCTTGTGACATAAAATGGAGAAAACAAAAAAAAGCCACATATCCCAGCATGGCTTTTTACCCTTAACATAAATGTGCGATGTTGTCTTTGGTCTGACGAAATAGTTTCAACGTTTCAAGTGTGTACCTGATTATACTTTATCCTTCCCCTCAGCTTCAGTGCCATTCACAGATTATTAGATTATCTAATCAATTTATTTGCTTTGAATCAAGAGAACTTCAGAGAAGCTACTGCCATGAGCTTTCCACCACTTTTTTTGGTCAGGATTTTCTATCTTAAGAGACTGACATTAACTTGGACGACAAGAAAGGGTTTTTGTTTGTTTGTTTGTTTGTTTTTGGGGGGAGGGGGGCATTTTGTTGTTTTCACTGTTTTTCTGCAAAGTTCATCTGGTGGACTGAAACTGTTTACAGCTCTTGATATTCTAAGAGGCCAGTATAATCTATTCAGTTATTTTCTGTTTAGTTAAGCTTATTAGATCGGCAGTTACTTTTGAAAATCACAGTGAGAAAGTTACTCTTTAAACTGACGATACCGCAGAATCAGATTTCTAATGCAGTGAAAAAAAAAAAAGACAATACAGACATTTATTCTTTGCTGTTTGTTTTTATATTTCTATTTGTTTCATAGGTCACATTTTCAATAAAAGAAATTCATAAATATATGCAAACATTTTACAGCCCTTCTTAGAAAATGGCATTGCACACACAAGACAAGAACTATTCAGTTGCATCCAAAATTGTAGTTCTTTATATGTGCATAGGGAAATCCAGCTGTGAAAACAAACTGAGAGACTGATAATCTTTTGGTGTAATTACAATAGGCTCAAAGCATAACACATACATTTCTGTTTTAAATGTATCTACTATTTCAATGCCTTCATCTTTATTATTTCAATGCCTAGGGTCCAATCAGGGAAGGGATCCCAAATGTGCTAGATCGCACCAAAATCAGCAAAGTGTTGCTTGCTTGTAGTCTTGCCTTCTGTTGTGCTTGTGGATGTAGATCTCTATTGTGTGAGGTCACGCAGATGTCAGCGCATGGGACAGAACAGATGTGCAACATCCTGAAAATGGGATTTGTGAGATGCAAGCAAGTGGGACCACTGTAGCACCAATTTAGTTTGGTTTAAACTGCTGTGAAACTGCAGCTTGGAGATGTGGCTCCTCAGCTTGGAGGTGTGGTTGCTATAAACTTGTTTTTTACCTGTCTAAATCCTGCAGCCAAATGAAGGGAGTACCTTGTTTTCCTGCAGTCTCACCCATCCCCAGTATTAGCACTAATGAGGCAAGCTAGACAGCCAGACTGTGTTGTCTTGAAACTAAGTTGGGCTTTCATGACACAACGACTATCATTGAAAAAGGAAAATATTACTTCCCTGACCTTGTTTACGTAAGGCCAAATAAACACCAACTGGGGTATAAAAACAAGGGAAGGACCTTATATGTGATAGCACGGGAAGAAAAGGATGGCCTATACAAACAGCAGCTTGCATTTTAGTGTAATGTGATGTCTCCAAGCGCTGGAGGGATGGCATCACCCTTTTCTGCCACTGAAGGGAGTTGCTCTACTTCCAACCTACTGAGTCTTCTGCTTTTGCCCTCAGGACTTGTGGCCAGCCCAGCTCACTGGCACCAATGGTCACTCAGCTTGTTAATTCCACCTATTAATTAATCCTGTCTGTAAGTGCAGGAGCTGGCATAGGCTACAGACTGGGCCTAAGCAGAACAACACTGGTGGGATCTAGACCCTGAACTCTGCTCTGGTGAGGCTGCTCCTTGAGTACTTTGTTCACCTTTGGGCCCCTCACTACAAGAAGGACATGGAGGCCCTGGTGCATGTCCAGAGAAGGGCTAAGAGGCTGGTGAAGGGCGTAGAACACAAGTCCTATGAGGAGTATCTGAGGGATACAGTTCAGTCTGGAGGAGGCTCAGGGAAAACCTCATCGCTCTCTACAACTACCTGAAAGGAAGGTGTGGGGAGCTGGGGGTCAGCCTCTTCTCAAAGATAACTAGCAATAGGACTAGAAGGAATGGCCTCAAGTTGTGCCAGGGGAAGTTTAGGTTGGAAATCAGGAAACATTTATTCTCCGAAAGAGCAGAGCAGTCAGGCATTGGAACAGGTTGCCCAGGGAGGTGGTGGCGTCACTGTCCCTGGGGGTGTTCAAGGAAAGGTCGGACGTGGTGCTTAGGGACATGGTTTAGTGCGTGACAGTGGTGGGAGGGTGATGGTTGGACTAGGCAACCTTGGAGGTCTTTTGCAAGCTTTACGGTTCTGTGGGTCTGTGATTTAAAACTGACACCGGAACAGCAATTCCAGCCGCTACGGACCTTACGGCACCCAACCCACAGGCGGGCTCCGCGCACCCTCCCTGAGCCCCCCGCCCCCCTTGCGGCCGCCAAACCCCCTCAGAGCCCCGGGCCCCTCCCCTCAGCGCCTCGGGGACAGCGGGGCGGGCGGGCTGCGCATGCGCCTCCTCCGGCGGGCCACAACCCGCGTGGAGGCGGTGGGCGGGGCGGGAGAGGGCGGCCTTGCTGAGGGGGCGGGGCTATGAGGAGCCCCCGCCCCGTGCCGGGCCCCGCCCCGTGCCGGGCCCCGCCCCGTCAGTCCGGCGCCGGCCCGCGGCGGGGCCGCAAGTTGCCCGGGACGGCGGCGGGGGCGGCTCCGCGAGGCTCGGTTCGGCCCGGCCCGGCCCGCGGGGAGAGGGGGACGGCCGTTGGCACGGAGCTCCCCCGCGGAGGGGACCGGGGGCTGCCGAGGCTGCCGGGGTCCGAGGGGATGCGAGCTGCGGGCCGGCCCCGCCGCGGCGTGGCGCGGGGGAGGTCGGGCCGGGCCCTGCGGCGCTGAGGAGCTGGAGCCCCGTCCCGTCCCGTCCCGTCCCGTCCCGTCCCGCCGGCCCGGAGCCTTCCGGGATGGATCATTTCTGTCAGCAGGTGCAGCAGAAGGACGTGGGCCGCAGGCTGCAGGTCGGGCAGGAGCTGCTCGAGTACCTGCGCGACCCCGCGGCGTCCCCGGACGTGGAGCAGGACCCGCAGCGGCTCGACAAAGTGATCGACGAGCTGGCGGCGTGGGTCAACTCCAGCAACTTCAAGGTGCGGGGCGGGGAGGGGCCGGGGCGCTCCTTGGCCACACGGACAGGCCGGCGTCTGGCCCGGCCTCCTGCCCTTCCTCCCCCGGAGACTCGGGAATCTGGCCTGGCTTTGGCTAACACTTCTCGCTTTCTGTTCCTTTTATCGTTGCCTGAACATTGCAGCACATTCCCTCTTGGGGGACACCCCCCCAACTGTTTCCTTAGCCTGACATAGCATGGCTATAACATAGCTAGTAATTCTTTTTTTGCTACCCCTCCCATTCCCTTCCCGTGCTGGGCTCTCTGCGCTTGGTGTAATGTTTCCTGGGACTCCCAGGATTTCCTGCAGGCCCTAAAGAGTCTTTTTCACTGTGTTCGTATTTCTCTCTGTTTAATGACTGAATTGCTTCCTCGGGTTCCAGTTGTAAATTTAAAGTTTTTCTATCGCTTTTAGGTGGCTTTTCCGTAGACGAGAAGTTACACGGTATTTTTATAGGTACCCGATGATGACTCATGTTTGGCTTTTTTTCCTGGTGCGCTTTTGGCTGACATACAGGAAAACAGTATTTACGGTGGACACGTGGGGAAGTAATATTTGTCAAATTTTCTGCTGTTGGTCAGCCGATAACGACAGACAATGTAGCTTTATTACCAAGCGCGATCGCATTCGTCTTAGCGCTTTATTTTATTTTATTTTATTTTCCTGCTGTATGTAACTGTCGCTGGTCTGCACTCCCGTCATCTGGTGGCGGTGTTGATCTGTACTGCTGAGCTCAGGTCTGGCAGCAGGGCAAGAGCCGCCCTTCCTGCTGCGCAGAGTCCAGAGTTGCTGTCTTGTCTCCTAAGACACTTGTCCTTAGGACCTCTGGACTTAGTGCATGGAGGTTATGGTATTTTTTTTTTCCTATTTCTGTAATCTATGGAGGAAAACATAGGAACACCTTGCAAAGGCAGTGTGTTTGTGAAATACTTACTTTTACTCCTTAGGTTTGACAATGCTGTGTACTTGGCTGTGTTTGCACATAGCACTTCTAAGTTTGAGGCCTGAAAATGATCAGGCTCAGCTGTATTTGCATGTATCTCGCTTTTTTTTTTTTTTTTGAGCAAATTTGTTCCTAAAGGTCGGGTTAGTTACAGGGAGTAATGTGGGTTGGATAAAGATGATTTACTTGTTTTTGAATTCTTAATCTGAGGATAGTTGTTGGCAGTTGATAAATGTCAAAGTTAGGCAAGTTATTTTTAAAACATGTAGGATAACATAAAAGTTGTTTCCTAAACTTCTAAATTGATGAAATTGGGAATTGAAAAGGAAATTTCAAGGTGTTGTGGTGGTTGTTTCTTTTTATCTTTATAAAGCAAGTCACAAGTCATTCTGCTCGCTGTTGATGTAAGGTGACAGTGATGTTGGCTGTTAGGACTGTACAACAAAAGAGGAATGTACTGTAGGCCAGATAACCTTCCCAAGCCTCAATCAAAATATGAGGTTATTATAAAATCTTATAATTACTAATTATAATTCTTACTATATTATAATATGACAATTATAATTCTATAAGTAGATTTCTATAAATTATGATGATTATCATAATTCTTACTATATTTTTACAGTCTCCTTTTCTGTGTGTCACCTATTGGTGGCTCTTTATACATAAAAAAAACTGCATTTCAAAGCATATTGTACATGCAGTATTAATGGCAACAGCACAAGGTCTTGGGTGTTTTGTTTGCAATCAGTTCCAGTGTCCCTGTCTATGATGGTGTTGGTTGGCATCTGATGTTTCCAAATGAAAATAAGGAACATTCTGGAGAATTGTGGTTGGCATCTAAAATTCATATTTCATCTTAAACAAGCATGGATGTTACATGCAGTGAGACTTGATCTTCATAGCTCCCTTCCAAGTGAAGTATCCTGTCCGATGTTTAACTGCTAGGTCTTAGTTTGTTGGTAAGCTCGGGGCCTGAATGATGACAGAAGATAATGAGTGTCACAGGCTTGTATGTATTCTCGAGACAAGTATTTCAGTAAACTTTGTTTTTAATTATGGTATTTATATTGATTTGTTGGGTGCCTTTTTTTTCTGCTGAGGAGTGAATATTCCTAGAAATTCCTACTTAACATCTTTTTTTTTTTTTAATGTCCTATTGAAGGTCTTCAAAGTCCTGAAGCAATTAATCCCTCCCAGTTGGCATGGCAGTTTAATTGGGCGATGATATTGGCTGGCAATTGGCCTATTTGTCAGAACTGCTGAGCTAGATGAACTGGAGTTACAAGCAGGGGATATTTAGAGAAAGTTACAAGAGGGTGCATTATTTTCTTGGAGGTGACAGGTATGGATGAGGCAGTAACTAACATAACTTGCCCTGGACGCGCTGTATTTGTTCCCACTCTACTGAGTGTGAAATTTCAGTTCTTCTACATGAAGTGCTCCATCTGAACATCCTGAAAAAGAAGAGGAGAGATCTGTGAGCTCTTGGTTCTTCTCTGTGCAATGTCTGAAGACATGACATCCTATGACAGTTTCTGCCTCAAATAAACATGAGGAGAGGAACTGGAGGAAATAGGAACAGAAGGGCTGATTTGGCAGACTTGGTAACGAATGAAAAGAGATGAGGGGTTAAGTAACCAAGTGTGGACTTGTTATCAGCAGGGTTGAATTAAGAGGTCAAAATCTTTTTGCCACAAGTTTAATAGTGTTTTTACTTTTTGAAAGTTTGCAGCTTGTACTGGGTCTGGCTGGGATGTTAACTTGTTAACTGCAGCAGCCCACACAGTGCTGTGCTCTGCGCTTGTAGCTAGAACAGCAGTGGTATCACACCAGTGTTGTGTCTGCTGCTGAGCAGTGCTGGCACAGCATCAGGACTCTCTTTAACCCTCCTAGGGGGTGGACAAAAAGAAGTGAGAAAAGAAACATCACCAGGGCAGCTAACCTAAACCAACCAAAGGGATATTCCATACCATATGATGTCACGCTCCACAATAAAAGGTGGAAAAAGGAAGAAGAGGGGAGGGGTGGGCTCTCGTGAAAATATCGGTCCTCCTCACGAAAACCGGCTACATGCATTGAGGCCCTGCTTCAAGGACGTGGTCAAGCATTGCTCATTTGTGGGAAGTAGAGAGTAATTTCTTTCCTCTGCACTTCCACATAATCTTTATTTGAGGTTTTATCTCAACCTGTGAGTTGTTCTTTACTTTACTTTTTGCCCCCTTCATCTAAGGAGGGGGACTGAGAGAGTGGTTGTGGTGTTTAGCTGCCTAGCACGGTAAAAACACCACGCAGCTATTCATAGCAGTTTAATTAGCAAAACTCAGCCAGTAGTTCCAAACTATGAAAGCATTCTCCTCAAGAAACTGGCTGCTCTTGACTTGGACTGGCACACGCTTCGTTGGGTTAGAAACTGGCTGGATAGCTGGGCCCAAAGAGTCATGGTGAATGGAGTCAAGTCCAGTTGGAGGCCAGTCACTAGTGGCGTCCCCCAGGGCTCAGTGCTGGGGCCGGTCCTCTTTAATATCTTCATCAATGATCTGGACGAGGGCATTGAGTGCACCCTCAGTAAGTTTGTAGATGACACCAAGCTATGCGCATGTGTCGATCTGCTTGAGGGTAGGAAAGCTCTGCAGGAGGATCTGGATAGGCTGCACCGATGGGCTGAGGTTAACTGCATGAAGTTCAACAAGGCCAAGTGCCGGGTCCTGCACCTGGGGCGCAATAACCCCAAGCAGAGCTACAGGCTGGGAGATGAGTGGTTGGAAAGCTGCCAGGCAGAGAAGGACCTAGGAGTGATGGTGGACAGTCGGCTGAATATGAGCCAGCAGTGTGCTCAGGTGGCCAAGAAGGCCAACGGCATCCTGGCTTGTATCAGAAAGAGTGTGACCAGCAGGGCTGGGGAGGTGATCGTCCCCCGTACTCGGCTCTGGTGAGGCCACACCTCGAGTACTGTGTTCAGTTTTGGGCCCCTCGCTACAAGAAGGACATCGAGGTGCTCGAGTGAATCCAGAGAAGGGCAACAAAGCTGGTGAGGGGTCTGGAGAACAAGTCTTATGATGAGCAGCTGAGGGAGCCGGGTCTGTTCAGCCTGGAGAGGAGGAGGCTCAGGGGCGACCTTATTGCTCTCTACAGGTACCTTAAAGAAGTCTGTAGTGAGGTGGGGGTTGGTCTGTTCTCCCACGTGCCTGGTGACAGGACTAGGGGGAACGGGCTGAAGTTGTGCCAGGGTAGTTTTAGGTTGGATGTTAGGAAGAACTTCTTTACCGAAAGGGTTGTTAGACATTGGAACAGGCTGCCCAGGGAAGTGGTGGAGTCACCATCCCTGGAAGTCTTTAAAAGACGTTTAGATGTAGAGCTTAGGGATATGGTTTAGTGGGGACTGTTAGTGTTAGGTCACTGGTTGGACTTGATGATCTTGAGGTCTCTTCCAACCTAGAAATTCTGTGATTCTGTGTGATAGGAAAACATTATGTATATTCAAAAACAATTTCTTATTTCAGGCATCACGTTTTATACTGAGATTTTGTTTCAAGTCTTGTGTAGCTTTAGAATCAGGAAAAGAACATTAATGGAAAGCCTTAATGTTACCATAAAAGCTGATTTATATGTTAAGTTATCAATTACAGTATTTTGCTTTCTCATTCTACTATGTTTCAGCTGCAGTTACTTGTTAGCAACATAGTAATTTAAGCCAGGGATACTCTTCTGTGTTAGTATGTAATAAAAACGAGTAAATTTCCAAGTAAATTGTACTTAATTTTCTATCTCCTGTTTAAATGGAGATCTACTAATATTAAATTCATTAAAATATTTTTAATTTTATGGTTGCTTCAGATCCTATTTTTTATGGAGAGCTTAGTTGTCTAGTTTCCTGTGGAATCAAGAATCATACAGTACTGTGTACGTAGGCCACTCTTCCTCATATTCATCCCCAGTCAAATTACTTTTGGCCTCTCCTCTAGTGTGGACAATTGTTACGGATGAGGATTTTAAGAGAACATTGTTCTTGAAGAAAATGTGGTTCCAAATTTTATGAAAATAAATAGCTAGTAGGAGGGAGTAATTCTGTTTGTGTATTTGTGGGGAAAATTACAAACGCCAAAGTTTCAGGAGGTCTTGGGCATTTGCCTCTTCATGGGCAGCAGCTTGCATTAACCATGAGGTTCAACAACATAGGTTTTTGTGTTCATAATGAACAGTTACAGGAAATTGAGAATGAAGTCTTGGAACAGTATACAGGATAATACAGGGGGAGAAGAAGTGTCCTCACCAGAATTATTTAGCTGATCATTTCTGACTACGTTTTTGTTTCTAGATAAATGGATATTGTCGTCTCATCTACTTTCTGTTGGTATATGGGAATTGCACAGAATTCCAGTAGCATTTTGTACTTTATTTTGTTTTTTGAATTTTGAACAAGACCAAGTGAAAAGAAATAACACTTCTATATTTTACGAAGCAGGTAGACAAATGCTGTGGTCTGAATTGCTAGGGAAGATAACATTAGCTTCTCTGAGTTGTTCTCTTGGGAGTTTGGTAAAAGATGCAATCACTTCAGTGGATGATCTAGGTTAACCAGATTGAGACAAGCACATAACATCTGGGCTTTATTTTTTTTTTTGTGTTAAGCTGTTTGCTTTTTCTGAGTCTGGGAACTGCTCCTCATCCATTCTCTCTTCCCCCCCCCCCCCCCCCCCCCCCTCTGTTTTTTTTGTAAGGCTTTCTGTTTTATTTTTCTTTCAGCAGCTTAGGTGCCTGGTAGAGGAGGTAAGGCCTAAAGCAATATGGCTGTCCTGGTGCTGGTCCCTGTTTAAAAGGGATTTTGATTTTCAGTTTATACTGTGATAAACAATATCTGGCAGTTATTTTTTAAAGAAAGGGGGAATGGAATTGCAGTCCTCATACACAATCCAGAGAGAAAAATGAAGAGAATGAAGAGCTTCTTCCAGCTCCTTAGTCCTCTTCATTCATCATTTAAATTTTAATAATTCCAAGTTGCAAATAGTAAAACATTGATTTTCTAACATTTAATTTCTTCCTGTTTTAAGAGAAGTAATACAAAATCTGAACTGATGTAGTATATGTAAATGTAATTGATCCAAACATATGCTGATAACTTTGTCTTAATGAAAGCTTTTAAGAAATTATCAGCTCTCTAATTGGAACTTTCATTTTTTTATTTGTTTAAGATATAGTGGTCCAGCTTGTTTGCATACAGAAGTCTGTAATTTCTTTAAAGTATATTCTAAAGAAATCTCTAGTCTTCTGTTCTGTGTATCTCATGCTTTTGTGTTGACAGGTGTCGTTACTGGGATTAGATGTTTTAGGTGCCTTTGTCAACAGACTATCAGGACGTTTTAAATCCTATATAGGAACCGGTAAGTGAAAAGTAACTTTCTTTTCCTTAAGACCAAAAGGTAGTATATAGTATGTTGCCCATCCACCTCCAGCAGTGGTACCTGAACATGTAGGAAGCTTTCTGAGCTAATCATAGTTTAAAACAATGTCTGGGGATGTAAATGTATAGGTATGTCATTGCTTAGTCTCATAAGTCTCTCAGTAAACACTGTGTTGGATGTGTGCTGTAGGAAATATTCAACAAAACGTTGAATATTTCTTTTTTTGTTTATTTGCATGGTTGCTTTTGTTTGTTTGTTTTGTTTTTAGAAAAGGCTGCAAAAGGAGACTCAATTATTTGTATTTTTTTCCCCAGAATAGATGTTTTGAATTGTGTTTATATTTCTGAATTTCACAAAAAGATGAAATTCCTGCAACACCTCAGAAAATTCTTTAATTTCCTTTAGTTCCCTTTATGGTTAATGATCATACGTAATGGTCAGAGCTGTTCTAAGCTGTGACTTTTCTTGTCTTGGTGACAGATTCTCTAAAGCTGTAAAAAAAAAAAAAAAAAAAAGCAACAACAACACAACCCCTACAATGTTTAAAGCTCTTTACATCCTGTTGAGCTGTCTGGAACCTTTGTGGTTGCAACTCCAGTAGAGTTGACAGGGACTCTCTGAAAGTGGTTCACAGAAAGGGGTAGACAGGAGAAGGTATATGCAAGAAGGGCACTTAAAAAGAGCAGTGGTCAATAGAGAGGGAATAATGGGGAGTTGTGAGCAATGATGCACACTGAAAAACTCCATATTTGTGTTGTAAAAGAAGGAACTCTTGTTAAAGTTTAACAAACGAAAATTGTTTGTGCTACCTGTGGTGTTCTTTGCTTCAGGGGATCATACAGTAAAGCTGCTCAGAATTTTTAAAAATAAACAGGGTGCCACTCTAGGCGCTGAATTCTGTGATTTACTTGTTTCTCATCTTCTGTCCTTGTAGAGGAAATAATTGTTTAATCTCTCAAGGCTCTACTCTGACTCTCCAGGCTGTTCTTGGCTCTAAATCTCGCATTATTGTCAAACCAGTAGTGCTAAAATAATTATGTGAATTCGTATAAATGAAGATTTATTTATTTTTACCAAGCCAAGAAAAGGAAGACAAACAACAGAGAAGAAACTAATTGGGCAACAAGCTCTGTTAGGGATGTAATACAAACCTAACCATGTATGCAGTTAGAAAGGAAAAAGAATAAATATCAGGTCAGATGTAGATAGCAGGTCAGTTGGAGGTAGACCAGGTACAATTAATGGGTGCTATACAGCATGCTTACTAACACCTTTAAGATTTCTTCACAGAAGAAAATTATAATATCTTTGTATAACTATGCTGACATATTAACAGGAAAACCTGTGGAATGGCTCATAGTGATAGGAGACTGACAATATGCTAAAATGTGGTGCGAGGGCAGATAGAATGGGGTACAGGTCTTTGTGGCTCTGCAAAGAATAATTCTGCATTATCAGCAGAAATTAATAAAAGAAAGAAAGTTGTAAAACATTACTGGGTTTTCCAAATCCATTTGAAATAAATTAAAGAAACCAGGCAATGGAAGAAGTAAGCTCAGCAAGATTAATATAAAACAGTAGGGATATGTGAATCCATACTGTATGTGACAGATAATATACTTCACTGGATAAGTTGGGATACTACTGCCTTGAATAGTGCCTTTATAGATGATGCTACTTCTTCATCCTCACATTTGTGTAACTCCAACGTCTATTTGAGACTGTTTAGCTAGCAGACTGATGGCAGAAACAACCAAATGGAGCACTTGCACAGCAGCATAGAGAAGGACATCAGTTTGATAATGATGGTGAGAAAGCATATAAAACATAAAGGAGAACTACCAGCCAAAATAATTGTTCCGTTATATTTAGAATAAAGTTGGGGGATAAAAGTGATATAAAAGTTCTTAGTGATATGTTTTCAGGTCACTTGTTCTTTGGGAAGTAATAGCACTAATCTTCTAGAGCAGGAACTCCAATTCTGGTGCAGGGTGCCCTTGTACTGCAACTATGACTTACGCTTTTCTTGGTAAGGATAGAAACCTGCCTAAAGGTGGCCAAGTTAAAAAATCTTTTAATGAACTCTTAGTGCACAAATACCCAGTATATACTTCCTAAGGTGACAAAAAATCTCCTAGCTTGTGGACTCAGTTCCAACATATCTCTTAGCTCCTGCCTTTGATGGACACATAGGTGTCTTATTGATGGAAGGCCCCAGTATGTCCTCAGGTCTGCTTGTAAACAGACAAATACTGGTACAAGGGCTGGGTTGAGCTGGGAGAGGGAAACGGTGTCTGGGGTGGTGAGTGGGCAAAGCTGCTGTTTTCTAGTAGTAGCGTTGGCTTGTCTTGATGTAGAGTGTGTTGTACTGTAGTTGCTGAAGCTAAGCTGTAATGGCTGCTTTGAGCTTAGGACTTCTTTTAAGGGCTTCTTCTAAGAACTCAAAATTTCTTGTGCTATGTGGCCTTGGGTTGGACAGAACTAGAGTGGAGCAAGAGGCCAGGAGGCACTGAATGCAAGCTAGGCAAGGATGCTTAGAGTAGGGGAAAAGAGAGGGGTATTAGCAAAACAGGATGCTAAAGAGGACCCAAGCATCTTAAAAATGGTCTAGGAATTTTTGGGTAGGGAGATGTTTTTCCCATTTGCTGTAGAAAGGCTAGCTAACACTATCTGGCTATTTTTCATCACCAATGCAGAAAAAGCAATAATCAAAGTAGTTCTTACTATAAACATGACGTTTGCAAAACAAGTGATGAAAACATTAGGAGTTCAAGTTGAAATATGTTTGGTGGCAATCCCCTTCTAGTTGATCACTTTGGAATTTTATTGATAGGCAACCAACTTAAAATCATTTCCTACTGGAGCTTACTCTGACAGAAAAGATGAACTACCAAGCTGATAACCAGCTGATGGTTGCCAGCACTCAACAGCTGTATTCCTTTGTCTTATGCAATTATGTCTAATATGTCTATTGCCATATATTTGCACTTAAAACAACTTGCGATTTAGGGAGAAAACAAGTCAAGGCTGCAGACAGGCAGGCCCTTGAGCAGCTGCCGCAACAGGTAGTCCCTGTGTCAGAGCTCCCAGAGTGACAAAGGCTGGCATGTTTAGTAATCCACAGGCTGTGTCATAGCTTAGTGCAACACAGTGACCTCATCTCTGTTCAGCATTTTCTAGTAGCTGTTCTCTGTGCTTGCCTTCGTGATTACAGCAAAGCCCTGGTATCTACAGCTCCATGAACTGACTCAGCCTGCTAATGAGTCACAAAAGAGTGGTGTTCAGCAGGACAGGCATTCACTGTGCTGCCCTCCCTTGGAACAACTTCTCAGTGTTTATTTTTGTTTTGTGACTGGAAGTTTAGGAGGGGTGAGCTGTGTACTCCCAAAATTGACTTCTGAGGTTCTGGACGTTTCTTTGGTGTTCACAAAATGGGGAGGGGGAGGACACGGGGGGACACCCTTTCTTTTCACAGTGTATAATGAAGACAGCTATAATAACTTATTCAGAGCAGAAAGGGAAGAAAAAATAGATGAAAAATGCAAAAGCTTGATAGTGATAGCTAAAGACGTCAGTGGAATATCCAGAGCCAGTTGAATTAAGTGTTTAGATTGCAACAATTAGAAAGTAGTCAGATACAGTAAGAGGAAAAAATCAGAGTTCAGCAATGTATTTGTCCAGCAGTTATCACACTACAGAAACAGCTGGGGGGTTTAATACTGTTATGTAGAAGCAGAGGACTGAGGAGACCTCCTGAATTACATATTCTTTTCCCTTTCTTTTGCTGGCACCACTACTGGTTAGTTATCATTGTCATTATAATCATCAAGTTCTATTACAATTCTTTCAGGTTTCCCTTTCAAAATGCAGGGTGATAGAGTTATTTCTTCTGTGAGCTGAATAGCAGTCAGAAGCTGAGAGAGGGACCAAACAAAAAGTAACTGTCAACTACTCTCATGTGTTCAGAAATGTAACACCATAAGCAGTAAAAGGTGATTTTAGCTGTAACTTCTTTAGCTGGTGGTGGAATATGAGAGAGTCCCCAAAAGATTCCTGGTAAATGTTAGGAATGTTAGACTACTTTTAAAGCTTGAAGTAAATGGCATGGTAATTACAAACTTGGCCCCTGCTTGACTAGAATACTAATTTGGAGGAGAACTACAGGCTGGGTGTCATGATCTGCGTTGAGTAAGAGTTCCAGCTAGAATTACCTTTCTGATACTTTCAGCTCTTAGAAATCTGTGAATCAGATCAGAAACAAAAGCTCATACAAAAGGCTGAGCTGTTAAGAGGTAAATGTTACCGTTAGCCTGTGACACTGATTTTTCCAAGTGGTGTTTCAGGTACTGATAGTGACTGTAAAAGCACTGTCCCATGGGAGATAAGTGGGAGATGACATCGCCATCAGTTTCCCATTAGTTGTAATCCCTGTCAAAAAGCAGTGTGCTCAGTGTCATTGCTGCTTGTTTTCAAGAAGTTGTACTGAAAGCACTGTGGGGAAGAATCTCACAAAGTGTGCATGTAGGCGCCATACAGAGAACCGGGAACCAGTATAGCAAGATGTCTTGCACAATGCTGATCTCAGCATTCATTCAGATAGCTTTCCTAGAGATCATATAGCGTTAATTTGTTTATCAGCTGCAATTAAAAACTTTTCTCTGTGGATAAGCAAATCAAAGATTTGGCAAGTCCTTTCATTTTTAGTGAGTTCTAATCTCTAGGATGTGAAGTCATCGACTCTTGAATAATTTTAGTTAAATAGTATTTGAGGGCACTTGTTTTGAAATTGTAACTTTTACTGAAGGAAGGACAAGTTTCCACAAGATACAGTGAGTGAACAGGAAGATTTAAAACATTTAAAATTTTTGTAATTAAATAGCAAAATCCCAATGATTTGAAAGTAGTTCTTTGTCCTATCCTATTCTTTACTTCTCCCCACTGCTCCCCAGGTTTTAGCATTATTTTTCAGAAAAGCCAGACATTCAGAAGCTGCTGGCATAGTTTTTGAAGATTAAATGGTAGTCATTCATACAGTTTTTTAAGACAGAAAGCTTTATTTTTTTAAGCCTGTTGGAAATGCTGTGTTCTTTAATTTCAGTTCAATGCATTTGTTGTTCTTTTTGTAACATATTCAGAAATACATTTCAGAGTTGCAAATGTTTTGACCATCTTACAGTCAGCTTTTTTTTTTTTTTTTTTAATAAGGTATATTTCAAATGTGTTTAAGGAACTGTCCTTCAGTATTACAAAATCTTTACTGGGTAAGTGTTTCATCTTTTTTTTTTTTTTTTTTTTTCTCTCTCCTGTAGTGCTCCTGCCTTTGATAGATCGCTTGGGAGATGCCAAAGACCAAGTTCGAGAGCAAGCACAGAATCTCATATTGAAATTGATGGATGAGGCAGCTACACCCATGGTATGCTTTCACTTTATAGAGATTCAGATATAGGCCTCCATTGAGCTTTTTACTTATGCATGAGCTTGACTTTGAATACGTCACAATGTTATGGTGACTGTTAATAGTGTATATGTTAAAGGTATTCTTAATGGATTAACACTGATGCATTGTTCAGCTGAAGATAAAAACCTGGCACAGCACAATTCTGCAGGTTTTGAATATCATACCTGAATTTTGTCACGTCATGTCTTGTGGCAGGACTTTGTTAATTAAAGGATGCTTGAAACAACCTACTGGATCTGTGATAGCATAATGAGAATAAGTAAGTTTATTTTGCTCAGAATTTATTTTAAAACGTACTTTGTGCCTGACACTTAGTAGTCCAACAGTTGAGATAGTGCATTTTAACACAGAAAATCTGGCTTTCTAAATGTATGACAAACATATGTGTGAACCTTTGACAAACTGAGATGGGGATAAATTCCCCTCTGCTTTATTTCTTATGTTGAAGTTCGAATTAAGCAAACCTTTTAACAGTTCTTAGGACTGGGTGGCTTCCAAGTGCTAAATATAGATATATCTACTCATAAGATTGTTTAACAGGACTTCACTGTTTGAGGACCGATATAACGTGGAACTCTGGGGAGCCTGGTTGTCAGTAAGAAGTGTTCTTTGAGTTCTTAATTTCTTAAAAAAAATCTTTCTGAGTTTAAATGCAGAAGTTAATAGGGAGTGTCTGTTTGTTCTTTTGCTTGCTAGTTCCTGGCTTTGTTTATTCATAGATAAAATTTGAATGTTTGAGCACAAGGAATATGGTTTTGCAAACTTCATTTGCAGTTAGAAAATTGTTTGTGGTTGCTTTGTTTGCCTGCTAGTAAAAACAGGTTGCATTTTAAGCAAGTATAGAAACTTACAGATACGAGTGGGATTTAGGCATCAGCGCATCATCCATAAAGCCTAGCCTTTATCTGTTGATGAGTTGCAGTTTTGATCGTATTCATTGACAAGAGATATGTCATTTATTTCATGCCTAAGTGCCAGTCACTCACAAGTGACATGTTCATGTACCAAGATGCTCTGAAGTACCTTGCTTACAGACCTGAATCTACACCTACCTCTACAGTAACAGCCTTCAGATAAATGCATAGCATCTTGGAGACACCTTTCTTAAAACAATCACTGATAAAGAAACTGGTGATTCTTTGTGATAGGCCGATAGGTCCTCCTTGCAAATGAGCTCTGGATTAGTGGTGCATTTTTCAGTTTCTGAAGAGAGCCTTTGTTGTGAGGCTGCACTTCAGCTTCAGGAAGAGGAGGCTGAGGGGAGGCCTCATGGCAGCCTGCAGTTCCCTCATGAGGGGAGCGGAGGGGCAGGCACTGAACTCTGCTCTCTGGGGACAGCGACAGGACCTGAGGGAACGGCATGGAGCTGGGGCAGTGGATGGTCAGGCTGGGGGTTAGGGAAAGGTTTTTCACCCAGAGGGTGGTTGGGCACTGGGACAGGCTCCCCAGGGCAGTGGTCATGGCACTGAGGCTGTCAGAGTTGAAGTGTTTGGACAACACTCTCAGACATAGGGTTTGATTTTGGGATGGTTCTGTGTGGAGTCAGGAGCTCGAGTCTGTGATCCTTAAGGGTCCCTCACAACTCAGAATACTCTGTGATTCAGTGATTCTATGATAGAAAGAAGCTTTCATCCCCTTTGAAGCTTTCCTGCAGTGTTGGAAAAAATACAAGATTCATGGGGTCCAAGGAACAGCATGCATAAAGAGAAGGTATGGTTTTTCTGGTAATTCCCCTAGGGTGGGGGAAACCCAGCTTCAGGTGTCTGTCTCAAGACAGCTTATGTATCATGAAAAAATTGGATGAAAAGCCTCTATCATCCTCACAGCTGGGACCAAAACAGAGAAGTCTTTCCTGTGCCTCCAGCACTGAAATACAGAGTTTTAGGCTTCCTTTGCTGCAGAGAAACATCCCTTTGGAAGAGCTGGGTGGAATCTTTTTTTGGGGATAAGACTTGTAAGTTTCTTCCTGATCATCTCCTCTGGTCTGTTCCAGTGTGTTTTTGAATAGTACTTAATTTGTCCTGTTGTCATTTCCTTTTTCTTGTTTTAAATGTGTTTGGGTTTTTCTTGTTGTTGTGTTGTTTAGTTGTTTTTTGTTTTAAGAGCCAGACATAGCTGTCCATGGGCAGAAACCCTTCAAAATATGAATAGAGCTGGTATAAGTGCATGAATAGGATAAAAGAAGGTTGGCATCAACTGTTGCTAGTGAGACATGAGTGCTGAAATTTCTGAGAAGCCATTTGAATTTCTCTGTTTAGATGAATTCAGGCTTAATTTGGTGAAAGATTAAATTTCTTTTCAGCCTGCTTTGTTTATTTCCATACTCTGCAGTTGCCTCTCTGGTGGTATTTTTGTACACCTACTGTGGCTATTTCCTTTTTTCACATTTGTCCTGAAGTGGAGGGATGTTTTCTTCCATAAGATCGTGTTCTTTATTGTTAAGCTATGTAATTTCAGCAAGCTATATTCTATTTATCTGAGGCTTGTTTCCTCTGAATGTAATGTAGTATAAGACAAACAAGAAATCACAGATGAGTCGAAGTGATCAAGTAGGCTCTAGCTGGAAAATCTTACGTCTGCTGTGAAGTGTGCTCCCTCTTTAATAAAGAGGATGCAGTGTTCCCTGCTCCTAATGCTGCCTGCCTTGTTGATCAGTAGCTGTTTGTGTGCGTTTTTTTTTTCTTTCGGCAAGCCAAAGACAGTTGCAATCATTTGTATCTGAAAGATTTTAAGTAGTCGCTATACATCGCAATTGCAGCACTCCCGGGGTAGGAAGGAGGGTGGTGCCTGCGCTGCTGCGAACTGTGCCATTGCCAGTGTGCAGCCATTGCTAAGCAACGCGCCCCTTGGATGCTCTGCTCGAGAGCTGACGGAGGCTGTAATGGCAGCGGTGTAGCTGGGGGAGTTGCAGTTTGAGTCTGTGCATCTGCTCTGAGACACCACTGAGAATCCCAAGTCTCGTAAGTTTCGTGTTTACACTCTTTACACTCTATTCAGCTAGAGAACGACAAGGAAATGGAAAGGTAAAAGGATAAATGGTACAGTGAAAGGGTAAAGGCAGGCAATGGAAAACAAAGATGCAAGAAGGTAAACGAGGGTTTAGCGAGCCAGAGAATCATACTACAGGAAGCAACACCAGCACAAAAGGAGAAATGAAATCATAATGGAAATGGAAGCAAAGAAACTAGAATGAATTGGCAAGAAATAACTGAAAAATGAAGAAGTAAATTAAAAGTAGGAGAGAAGTAGACAGCAGGAGTATGGATAAGCAGGAGCTAAAATGGATGAGAGGAAATTTTGGCAGGGAAACAATATGAAGCCAAAACAATATAGCAACTTCTGCTTCGGTCAGTAGTTTGAAAATGTTAATATTTGCTTTGTGTTTATTAACTGTACCAATTCTGCATTTTTTTAAAGCCATTTCTCATGCAATAAAAATACATAGCTAGATTTGTGATGAACATTTTAGAAATTGTTTTGGCATAACAATAATCTGTATTGTGTTTCATGCTGTACATTTTATAACTTAATTTTATCTGCAAAGTGCCTTTACTTTTCCAGTGGACCTGTCTTATGTTTTTTTTTTTTTTTTTTTTTTTGTAACTGTTATTAATGTAGTTATAGAAAACGAGTAGAATTACATCATATTGTGCTCCTGGTAATGAAAGACAATTATTTCTGTTTTATAGTACATTTGGGAACGCCTTGCTGTTGGTTTTAAACACAAGAATTACCGATCCCGAGAAGGAGTGTGTTTGTGTCTTATTGCAACCTTAAACATGTAAGCTTTTTGTTTCTATGGAGACATAAGGATTCTATTCTTTTTCTGAATTTCCTATTTGTCTGAAACTAATACTTTAGGAAGTCTGATTCAATTAAAATAATAAATAGGAAAAGTTGAACAACTTTACCTGCAAGCTTTCGTAAAGAAGGACTAAAGGTATAATATTTGTGTCTGATTTAAAAATAGACGAAGGACTATTAAGAGAGAGATAAAGCTTGATTAATATGTTTGTATTTTATCAATGACAAGCTAAAAGTTCATTTTCTGATTTTCTGTCAGAAAAAGAATTTTTTTCTTTTTTTTTTTCTTTTCAGTTATGGGGCACAATCATTAAGCCTCAGCAAGTTAGTACCACATCTGTGTGCAGCGTTTGGTGACTTGAATAGCCAGGTAAGCATTCCGCTACTTCCTGGTGCTTCAGCAACTGCAGTTTGAGAGAACTGAATGCAAAATAAATGTGGGCATTTAAGAAAAGCTGATAGGCTTGCTTGTATACAACAGATCATTTTTTTCTATAGGACTGTAGTTAAAAAATTGCTTAAATAAGCAAAAACATCTGAAGTGAAAATCAAGATATAGTTGTAATGGTTACATATGTTGAGCTTCAGAAAACTGTTGAATGGAAATAGTCTCTTGATTTTTCTAAAGCTGAGTTGGAGAAAGAATACTAAGAATACAGAAAGGAAGAAGGCAGCAGTGGTAGGAGATGGGCAAGTAAACCGAAGAGGTCTTTATGCTTATTTTCTTGGTGCAGCAACATCCTTGTCTCCTCTATGTACCATAGCATTGCTCTATTCTGGAGAAAATCAGTTAAGAATTTGTCTTGTTTGTTGGTTATTAGTGAAGATGTAGTTCATATCTTGATAGAGTGGTTGTGGTTTTACCGCAGACTGTTACAAAGAAAAATACCAAAATAATTCCAGAAATTCTTTATAGAGAATAATGGCATTTACTAACATGCATTTTTGGCACTTTTTGTTGTGATGACTATGCTTTATATTTTTGTAAAAGGCAAGCTGTCTCTTTGCTTTAGCTATTCTTAACCCTTACCCTATCTCGTCTTATTCCTATTCTTGTGCTTATGTGATACCACCTAATTGCTTATGGTAATTGCTTGTGAAGGAAGTACAGGAAATGTTGGTCACTTTGACCCACTCTTGTGGGCAGTCAGATACCTAGTTTTACAGAATTGCCTCGCTGTTTGTAGAAAGAGATGAAGGCAAGATGAAGCGTCAAGACTGAGTGCAGGGACTAACTTTTGGAAGTGTCGCCTAGTGTGATAGGGTCCTAAATACAGCACATTCTTGATATTCGTATTCTTATTTCATGTCATTCCCAGAAATTCCCTCTAGAGCTGTTATTTCTAGGATTTTTAATTTACCATCTTGAACTAACAGTTGTGTTTCCTTTCCATTTTCACTGTTTCAACTGTTTTGTGAAATGAGTTGGTGTGCAGGCCAATTGGAAGATTAGTGAGCTGTCAGCAAAATGCTGTTCAGGTTTCTGTAATCTGGAAATGAATAATTTAAATTTGGCATTCACAGGTGAGAGATGCTGCCATACTAGCCATTGTAGAGATTTACAGACATGTGGGAGAGAAAGTACGAATAGATCTTACAAAGAGAGGAATTCCTCCTGGAAGGTGAGTTAGTTGTTTTCATTTTATTATCCTGAGCCATTCTGTTACTGGTTTTTATCAGAACTTAAAACTTACTAAAAACCTAGTGATGTTACTAATGTTTCTGACTTTCTTTTGATACTGTCTTTCCTGCTTGGAAGAGGCATGCGTTTATAGCGCAATGCAGTCTAATATTCACCAGTTTAAATACCCTGGTTTTAAGAGAAGCTGAGAGCTGGTGAATAGTAGAAAAATGTTTCAAAATTATGCAAATATATACTGCATGTTGTGGAGAGTTACAGTGAACACTGGGGAAGTAATTGGAAAATATTTGAACGTATGCATCTTGTTCCTTATTCTAGAGTTGGTGTTTAGCCCGAATGTATAGAGTTACAACTGAGTAGCTTAAATCAATCCTTTTCATGCGTTGTGTATGTGTGAAAGAGAAGTGTGCCTACATGCGTGAGAGTGAAAGTATGGCAAATATGCAACAAGCTATTACTTTCTTGAAGATAGTTATAATAAAGAAATATCCTCTCTTGCTTCTTGCTAATTACCCTTTCCACAATAGAGGTTTGCTTATGGGCCACAGTTAAATAAGAGAGAGCTGCTTTTTAGTGTACCTGCTTTCCAATTCTGAAACTGAAATTTCTGGGATTTGCTGAGAAAGGAGTATTCAAAAGGAGTATAAGCTGGTCTCATACACATGCTGTCACAGGACACTGGATATTTCTTGCAAAAGGTGAAATAAAAATTTGAAAATGCTTATTTCATCAGTAGTTCTTCTTTCTGAAGAGCAATTCTTTAAAGGCTGGTCTGTGTTGTCTTCTTTCTACTCTTGTAAAGATTTGTTTCTTTAAGTAAACTAGGTAGAGCTTGAACTTGTACTTGTTAGGAAAGACTGCTTATACAATAAATCTTTAAAATTCCTTATTAAAATTATTTACACTTCTTAAAAATGTTAGCTTATTACAAACTAACATAACATTTTACTCTGAGTCTTCAGCATGTTTCTTGGTTTTGAGAAAGCTGAATGTATCTATTGCGTGGGGTTAGACAGAATATCAGAATGGATTCTGTGACTTGTGAGACCCCTCTAAAATTATTAGCCTTAGTTTTTAATGATAATTTTTAGGGTACTGAAATACTGTAATAGGAGAATGGTGTTGAATTTACTATTTCACGTGCCAGGCAGAGTTAAGCCTCTGATCAAATGCTTTCCCTGCCTCTAGGAATGAGACGTCATACATACACATTCCTTTCTATTTAATGGTTGTCACAGTTATGTAGTGTGAAATGTCTATGTGGTTACCACAGAAGTTTAAGCAATATTAATAGTACAATTTCAAAAATTCAGTTCTACAGCAGATAATTATATCAGAGAAAGTCATGATATATCAGAGCAGAAGAATGCAGATAACAAAAGCTTTTGTCTGTCCTAAGAGTGTTGGGTCTGATCATACATTTAGGTTCAGCACTTATCCTGTTCACATTTCCATGTGATACAAAGTAAGTAAATCTTGGGATCCAAATAGGATTAAACACCATGGGAGATTTGTCTCCTCAGGGTAATCAATAGCTTCTAATTTACTTGCAGTAGTGGTCAACTTCTTATTCCTACTACCTGAATCATTTGAGTACACAATTCCCCGTGCTCTGAAAGCAAGCACAGTTTCATCATTTTCATTTACATAAACAAGCAAGGCTGTTACTTGATGCATGTCAAACTGGTTCTTGTCACTGAATCTCAGCAGTTTCACACCTGACATCAAGGCCAGTGTAAGATAATACATGAGCTGAGGCTCAGTGCTGTGTCCTTTAAAGTAGTCTTCAGGCTGGGAGGAAGGAGGGAGATAAGATGTACTTGAGTTGTTGCACAAAGCTACAAGTCTCCATCCCTAGCACTGTCATAAAGCAGAAGTCCTTTAGTCTCTTCCTTCTTCTTAATACTTCTTAAAAAAGTAACAAAGTACTTGACAAATCTCAGGAAAGACAGATTAGCTCTGTCTCAGACTGTTGCTCCTTCACAGGCAGACCCAATTTAAGAGGTTTCTTCCCCATTGTCTGTCAGAAGTTCTCCCTTCACTTAGATGCATTAAACTTTTTGTGTGGATATGCAGGAGCTATGGTGTGTGAAGCAACTTGATTTAGGGCATCATCTTAACTGTTCTGAGGGGAATTTATGTTCGTATTCGTGTGTCTGGGTAGGTTTTAAGGATTTTAAGTATTACAGATAATCTGTAGTTCGGACACAGCTGCTTTCAGTTCTTCAGGTCAACCCTAACCAAACTGCAGCTCTTTCACTGTGACAGTGCATTAAAATGGCGCATAAATGTAAATATTAGCACCATTACTTCAGTATTTGGTACATGTGATTTAATAGAATGTAGGTTTGTACAGTTTACATAACAACTGACACATGAGAAGTCTGTCTGTTGCTGCTTGAGTGCACTCTGCCTTAAAGCTCTGAAAATAAGAGCTCATGACTTTCCTTCCTTTCAGCAGACATCAAGCATTGTTTACAAAAATCAGTCAATTTCCTTAAATATGCAAATAGGGTAAGCATGTTGTGTCTATATAAAGCCAGATGTGGCTAGTAGTTTAATAATACTAGGTTAAAAAGGCTTTATAATTTGCACCTGGTAAATGTGCCTTTGTGGAAAATATTGGATTTTCTAGAGAAGGATAACTGGACCTGTATAGGAGTCTAGATGGTCAAAAAAAGAAGAGGGAGTTGCACTTCTGTATTTCAACTCTACTTGCTACTATTTCTATTTTTCTTCAGTGCATTCTTATTCTCTCATAGAGATTAATTTGTGAATTTCTGTTTGTGACTGAAACCAGTGAGTTCCTCTTTCCATGTATTGTTTTTCAACTTGTAAATCTCGGAACAATATCTTAATTTTGGCCTGAAGCACATTGCTCAAAAAATCAGTATCAAATCAGTGGCTGGAGATTTGGATGTTGTGTTTCACTTTTAGTTAAAGTTGCTGCCAAAGAGGATTGACAGTCTTTGGTACGGGGCCTGTATTAGTGTTAATATATTTGTGAATACTGAAAGTGCATATTGTATTTCTTGTTCTAAGAGCCAAGAATATTGAACAGTTTTTTTTTCTGTTTGAGCCAAGTGGAATTTCCTACAGTACAGAACGTGTGTAGCTGATCTTCCATGAATATAAATAGTACATGTGGATCTGGAAGAGAGCAGCAGTTGCTAGGTCTGACTGTTAAAAGCCTTTTAAGAGTTTTCAGGAAGTCATCTGACAGCTTTTCCCACCATTGCTTGAGAAACATAAATGTATAAAAACACATTTATTTGTTTAGAGAGCTCTTGTGTCTAAGGCCACAGCTTGATATTTTGATATGTTATGTACTTTACAGGATGCATTTATGAATGCTACATTTGGTGTGGTATGCACATTCTACTTGTCTGTCTAGTTCATACTGTAGATAAGGTCCATCTGTGTGTCCAGATGTAGACACGCGTCTGCGAGATCTTTTTTTTTTTTTTTCAAAGGAGGAAGTAAAGGGAAATGTATGCCAGCTCAGCTGTGTCTACACTATAATGTGTCTGTCTGAAGTCAGAAAGATGTGGTTGTAAGCTTTCAGGAGTGGCAGTACCACAGTGTTCTCCAGCCTGCACCACTGACTGCGTAGCTTTGAGTGTTGACAAAGCTGTCACTGAATGCTCCTGGTTACTACATTGTCAGATATTTTGCCCAGAGTGAGAAGCAATTTATGTATTATTATAATGTATTCATAAGAAGGCATTTCATTTTTCTCTTAAATTTAAAATGCTCATTAAAGTATTTTTTGATAACTAAGGTCAAAAGAGCAGGAAATGCTTTTTCTTTTAAATCCTCCAAAGTGGGGTGGAGGGTGTGTGGGTGTGTGTATACACGTACGCAGCATGCCATCAGTGTAACAGGATATAGAAAAACAAGGGCAAATTTTAATGGAAATCTCTTCATCTCTATAGTGTTGATGTTCAGTTTCTCTCAAGATAACAGCTTCAGTGTTTCGCACGTAGCATTAAGTCCTTACTAACTGGGCAGACTGGTAATGCAGCGTTCTGTATGGAATCCAGTAGTGTTGAGGTGAACTCGCAGTCCCTGGTAAACAGTAAAAATACTTAATTTTGCACATATGTAGCAATTGCATTTATTTCCTTTTAAGAAAGTAAGATGGCATAATACATTACTATGTGTATTGTCTGATCCTAGTGTTAAACTTTTCACTTCATACAGTTGGAAGCATGTTGTATGTTAATGGGTTTCCATATGTGATTAGTGAATACTGGTACCCAGAAAGCACTTAAAGCAATAGCTGTAGTTTTACTTTTTGAAGTCTAAATGCAAAAAATACATTACAGTATAACTTGCTTTTGCTTTACAAATCAACCTTTTAATGAAAAGACTCAGGTTTAATATTAAGGCAGTGTAGTCTGACATTTATGAATTGCTGCTATTTCAGATGGTTTGCTGTGGCTGCAATGGTTGTAAATGCAACTGTGGCTCAAAAGGGAGAGGTTCCAAGGAGAAGATTGACAAGTACATTAGGAGAAGATTATGCAAACTACTATGGAGTTATAAATAGTTTTGAGATAAGCTGAAATGGTAGAGTAACTGCTGGTTTGTGTTATGGATTATTCAATTACACCATTAATTTTTGTTTGTTTGTTTGTTTAGACATTTGAAATAAGGTAGGCCTTCCTATGGAATTCTCAGCTAATGTGATATTCTGGTTGTGGGCCTGAATACATGACAAAGTCTGCTCTCCAGCAAATTGCTTTCAAATATTTGGAAAGTAAAACTAACATGTTGAGAGCACTGAAGCATCTGAAAGTGTGAGGAAATGCTGAGGCTTTTCATATTGTTTTCTGGCTGCATTTCATGATTTTATAATAAACTTTGTTATTAGATAAAGGAGTTTCAGGTGAGTGAAAGAGGTATGCATTGTTGGTTGATGGTTGGACTTGGTGATTTTAAGGGTGTTGTCCAACCTAAACAATTCTGTGGTTCTATGATTCTTTGACTTTTCTCCTTTCTGTGCAAAGAGAATTTTTATACCCAAGCGCGGTTCTTTTCTGTTTTTCCCAATTTGTCTTAAAATAGTTTGGATTGTGAGCTCTAAACAGAGCCATTCAATATTTGTCCTTTTAGCAAATTTTGAATCAGATAATATAGCTTCTAGTCCTCATAATGTAGCTGAGCTATATCCACTTGGAGAGTTGCAGACCGTTATGTGGTTTATAGCTGATAACTATGTCCTTAAGGTCAGGATTCAATCCTCCTAGTTTTGCATCTAAAAATTCACATGCATGTTAGATGTTACTGTATGCTGAGTAGCCTAAGATGCAGAAAAGACTTTGGAGAAATGTTAGGAAGTATTCTCAATTGTTTGCAGCTGAACAACTTACTATGTTAGTACAAACCCACTGCTAGTCTGTTGGTCAAATTTTTGTCTGTGAGACACTACTTTTACTGCATTTTCTGCAGAAGTGATGAGAAATAGCTGTTCAGGTTTGGCCAGCTTTCTTGCTTGAATAGCATTTTTTACCATGTGGGACCAGACTGAAAATGTGGATATTTTTTATTTTATTTGTTTATTTAATTATTTTTCTATTTACATTCAGCTAAGCACTTGCAGTATGTTTTTTATTGTGTTTAAATCAGCGGTAAGTGTTGAACATAACTAAAGTGTTTAGTGTACCTTAAGTTTAGAAAAAAGCCTCTTCTCTTTTTTTTAGTGGAGGCACGAGCCACTTCAAAAATATTTTCATAACAAAGCTGAGATCTTGATAAAATTTATAATTGTCATGGAACAAATTAAATAGTAATCTCTATTTTGTTCACTTATGCATTCTATAGTTCAAATTGTTTCCTTACAGTATTGTGTATAAATAGGGTAATATCACTGCCATTCTGAAGTCACTGTGTAATACTACTGAACCTGTACTTCAGAATTTTCATTATATTTAATAATGTTAATAATGACGCTCGGTTTTATTCTTCACTGACTTGGCTTAGCTTTATGTGCATTTGCGAGAAGATGCTCAACTAACTTAAGAAGAAGAGTCCTTTGGAAATTGTTTCTACATATTCATAATCCCTTGTATTTTCTGTGTTACTGTTTTATATATAATAAACTAAGTTCTGTTTTTACCAGTAACCCGGGAGATTTCAGAGATGTAAATATACACATGCACATACATATAATTTGTTCTTCTTTACAGGTTGCAAACAATCTTTACAAAATTTGATGAAATAAGAAACTCTGGAACTATGATTTTAAGTAGCATCAGTGGTGAGTATAAAGGAACATGTGTTTATAATCAGTTTTATATTAACACAAGATAAATATTTAAACACTAGCATTAACAATGTGAAATGGATGACTAGAAACATATATAAGACTACTAAGAAAATCAGTTCATAGTGAAACAAACTTACATTAGAAAAAGTGGTTTTGGGACTGTCAGAATACAGGAAAAGGTTTTGAAACTGCATGGAAAGCAGCAGAGAATCTTTAACAAGTTTTGCATCCACTCAGTAGAGGACACAGGAATGCTGCAGAGTATTCATGCACGGAAAAAAAATCAAATGAGCCTTTTTCCTATCTTAAGAGCATTTCTAAAAGAAAAGGGTAATCAAGTGATGAATGTATTATGTGATTTTTTTTCTCAGTTTGAAGTGTTGAATAATGATTGTAATACATAAAATACATAAAAATAAAATACATAAAATATATAAAATTCTCAATTGAAGATAGGTGATTGCAGCATTCAAAGACACTTCAATGTTTAAGTTAAGACTTCCTTTTAAAATTCCCCTCTAATGTACCGAGTTTAAGCTCTTTTTTTGGTGCATTTCACGAAAACAAAACCTGTTGTGCAAAGAATCCTTGTTTCTTCCTACTGCATTCCTGAGTTAGTATTTTATAGTAGGAAAGAGCAAAACCAGCATTCTTTCCCACTTAAAAGTATACTTTAAGAAAAAAGGTTGCATAATATCACAAGGGCGGTGGTGTAGCAGTGGCTTTAATACGGTTGGATTTGAAAGCTTCCTTATCTTTCTTCTGTAAGCAATCAGCGGCTTTTGATTTATAGGGGAGTGTTTTCAGATACTCATTTTTGTTGAAACCAGTTATTTTGACCGAAAACAGGCTCTGCTAGATGTAAGAAGTAACTGTGCAAGAGTTTTTTTTTCTATGATTTTGAGGAATGCATGTGATGGAAATGCACTTTTTCATTTTGAATGTTCTTACCTTTCTCTTGTTTGTGTAAAAATTGAAGAGATTGTAGGTTTGAAGAAATGTGTTTTCAAATCTTTTCCTTGAGCTAATAGAGTTTTATGTTGCATTCCGGTTTGAAGTAAAACATTGCTATTCTTGAACACCTGAAGAGTAGAATAGTAGATCTGTAAGGACTGATAGAAAAAAGAGAAGAAAATATGTGTTAATTTTGGAGGAAAATGTTTTACATAACTGTTCTGTTAGAGTGTAGATTTATTCCTTTTGGAAGGGTAAACCATTGGTTTTTACATTTAAAGTTCATGCTACCGCATAGGTTTGAGCTGTTCAAAGATACATGTTACATGTGTGTTTTCTGTTGGCAGTTCTCAGGAGAACTGAGAAAGTTAGAGGAAGGAATAAAAATGTGTTGAAATAATTTATATGTATATGAAAATATAAATACAACATAATTATTGCTGGACTAGTTTACATAGCACTTAAGAACTTTTGGTCTGTATCTTATGAGAGTAGACAACGTTTCTTTTTCTTTAAGCCATTTTATCTCATCTGTACAATGCAGGTGTTAGTGCTCATCTACAGTGGTATAAATGTCTTGTAGGTGGCAAATTCTGTGCAAAAGTTACTATGAGTCCATCTGTTTCAGTCCCAGAGACAGAATCCCTGTAGTACATTTGTTTCAGTATTTTTCGTTGAACTGCATTTATCTGTTGAATCCATCTATACTGTTATTTTTAAAATGTTACTGAAAAGAGATTCTTCTATTAGTTAGTGCTTTAGCTTGGCTTTGTCTTTCATTTGATGAAGCTTTCATTTAAAGGAGCTTCAAAAGCCAACAGGCAAGAAACATGGAAGGCACTGTGCCTAATGAGGGGACTGGGCAAGAGTCTTGGTGCTGTTGCTTAATGAGTTATTACAAACTTAAATACTATCATACAAATAACTTGTCTCTCTGGCTGACCTTTGATTCCCTCTCTCCTTTCTTGATTCCAGCATCTTCCCTTGCAGTTGGCTGTGGCTAGTGAAAACCAACATAGTTTCTTTACCGTGAATTATGTGAATGAGTTAGCCACTATGGAAAACCTTGTGTTTTGTCTACATTCATAACAATGCAGCATATCACGAGAATTATATCAGGATGTGTTTGTCTGTCATGCCAAGCCTTGCATGTAGTGCTTGTCATGCCCTTCCACTCCAACAGAAATGTTCATACCCCTGCAAACCGGGAAGGTTCTTTAAAGCACCTCCCCATTTCGCAGCAAATGAATCTTAATTTCTATGGAAACAGACCCAGCAGCCAATCTCAAAGCTGCAAAAGCACACACATTTCTGCTGGCTGGGGTTTGTAAATACTGTTTTCACTAAGAGAATTTAAACCAACTCCAGTATTGGGTAGTAGTGTAAATTTTGAGACATAGAATTAAAAGTAGGGAAAATAATAACACTGAGCTCTACACTTTGCTCCATTCAGTAGACAGAATGATCTGAGCTGAATGTAAATTTTATGCCTCTATTCAACCCATGCAATTTTCCTATTTAAATGCTATGTGTTATAGCGTTAGTTTCGTAAATATGTGATAGGATACAGCGATTTTAGTATCACAGTTACGGGGGAACTATGTTGCAGGTGATAAAGATGCAGTCAAGTTATTATGTTCTCCTAAAAAACCGGGCAAGAAAAATCCATTGAACTAGTATGTATCTGTTTTGCCATATTATGTTTTTTGTTGGTGGTGTGTTTTTTTTTGTATTTCCCTATGTTGGTTTCTTTGTGGAAACAGAGTTTCTATGGAGACAGTGACATTATATTCTGGCTTAAATTTTAAATTTCAGCTGTTACCCGTGGTAGCTAGTACCTTGAAATATGAAAATTTGCGGAGCAGCAAAGTAGTACTTTCAGTTTGATTGTGTTTGAAAGTCGAGGACGGGCGCAGGCTGATGCACACAACGTTTTTTAAGGCCCTTGTGCATGTTTCTAGGACCTTCCCCAACTGAGCACCCACCCTGCTACAGGTGAGCGGTTTACAGGCGCTGCCAGCTCCCTGCCTCTCCCAGCGACAACCCCTGCCAAACTTGAAACTCAGCCTTGGACAAGAGGCAACAAATCGCGAGGAAACACTTTGTTATTATTTAACCCCAGCGATGGCGTCGCGCCCCAGGCGCGATGCGGGGCCGAGGCAGGAGCAGGCCGCTAGTAGCCATTGCCCGGAGGCCGCCTCCGTCAGCCCCGGGTGCCAGGAGGGTGGCTCCCTGATGGGGCGAGGCGGGCCCGGGGCGGAGCGCTGTAAGAGTCGGGGCCGGGCCGGGCCGGGCCGCGCCGCGCAGGGCTGCTATTTTGAAGCGGGGCGGTGGCTGTGGTGGCTGGGAGCCGCGCTATGATGGCGGTGGGGGACGGTGAGTAACGGCGCCATCATAGGGTACTCTCCTTCCTTATCCTCCTCTTCTTCTTTCCCCGCGATGCGGGCGGGCAGGAGGGGGCTCGCTGCGGGAGCCGGGCTGTGTGTGGGGTGAAGGCGTCGGTCGCGGCTGGGCATGGTGCCTCGTTACACAAACCCCTGGAAGTAGGTCAGTGAAGCACCGCAGGATCCATGCTTCTGTCTTTCTCAAAACTGGACGTATGTCCCGTTTCCTGGCGGCCGTAGTTTCCTCTGTACCCCTTGTTGTTTTCAGAGAAACTTGACGAGCTGCCTTTGAGCTTGAAGCAAGTTTTAGGATGAACGAAGAGGGCTTTTGCGTTTGCATTTACATCCCTAAATAATATTTAAATCCCTCCTTTTACAAAGTTTAAGCACTTAAATTAAGGCGAAAAGCTTCTCTCACAAAGTTTAACTACTTCAATTAAGGTGAATCTTTTATCTGAATTTGCTAAGACATCAGCAGTAGGAATCCTAGAGAAGACCTCTTCTAAAGCGTCTTGAAATCTACATTCACCACTTAGTTCTTTGACTGTGTGGAGCTGAAACAGAGGGAGCAGAGCAGCAAATGCAAGGTTGTGCTGCAGTGTTCAAAATATTCAGGCATTTTTCTGGTGTTTGTTTTTATTTGTCATTGGCAAGCTGCAAGGGAAGTCAGGCTAAGTAAGGTCTTTGTTGCTCATTTCTTTCCTAAGAATGTTTTCCTTAGTGTTTGTTTCCCATGAAGCAGCCTGGTTCTCTGTGATGTAAACATGGATTGTGGTAACTTGCAGATTAAGGGTGCAAGCTGTAGCCTGTTAAGGAATAACTGTATTCCCTAGGCAAAGCCATGGGATTTTTGTGGTTCTGTAATGGTCGAGGCTTATAAAGTGAGGGTGGTTGTGGAGCTCTCCCCTGTATGATTAGATTTGTCATTAACAAAGGCACTAAGAACAAAGTACTGTTCAGGCAGTCAGCTGATGTTCTGTGTGGGAGCTTTGAGCAATAATGCCAGATACAATTAAGAGTGTGTAGGATGATTATGTAACTGCTGGTCTCTCTTAAAACTATTGCTTACCACATTTACAAGGAATTCAGTCTTTTGACATTGTGCTATGAAGTTGTTAGGGAAAACAAAATCCTAGCAACTATTAAGAGAACTTTTTGACTTCTATTTCTGAATTGATATGCCGGTTTAGCTCTCATTTTCTGTTTTGTGAGTGTCCTGCATATCCTGCAACGTAGCAGAAACAATTTGTTCAAATGTTAGTGATTCAGTAGCCTTTGAGGATTGTCTTTCTTGACAAAATGGCACTTCACTGTGGCCAGTGTGTATGTTTGACTTACTGCTTGTGAAGATGGGCTGATGTTTGGAAGGCTGCTGTGCAGGTAGGCCAGAGAACAGAAATGTTAGTTTATTTCATTTGGTTTGCATAGATATGCTGTAAAACTGCATGGAGTATGTTTGGAAGTACTATATAGAGGTCATAATTTCAACATTTTGTCCTGAGTGCAAGACACTGGCTTATTCTAACTTCCTGCATTCTTTCAGTTTTCTTGAGCACAAGCAGAAATGTAAATAAAACGTGGTGCTTAGTTGTTGGATCTTAATCTGATTTCTCAAGTGAAGATTAAAGGGAAGAGGCAAGTCTTCTGTTTATC